TTTTTTTAATTCTGTCTCTCAGAGTGGGAATGCACCTACAATGTGAATTTCAGACCCCTCCATGATTTCTAAGTGGGAGAACTTGCAAAATCGCAGGGTGTTCAAATACTTCTGTTCCTCACTGTATTAACCACATCATTTCAAAGAATGTCAAAAGGACCTTTACAAAGAGAATCACACGACATGTACTGCGATTATTTTGGACTTACTTAATCTACTGCAGGTTTTATTGGTGTAGGTCCAAAAACGTGTGTTGCAGGTCACAGCTTTACCATACATTAATCATGGCTTCAATGAAATAAGCTGTCAGTAGTGTTTCTGCTGATGTTGTTCTGTGATATATTTTTGAAGACGACGTCAAGCAGCATGACTGTTTAACGGGTCTGACTTTAAAGTTTTCTTAAATGCTGTAAATCTATTGTAAAGGAGCGTCATCTGTCTGACAGGTACAAAAAGCGCTTCCATATGTTCGACAAAGAGAGCAAAGGATTCATCACCACTGTCGACGTCCAGCAAGTTTTGGAAGTGAGTTTTCCTTTTCTGTCTCCGTCTCTGTCTTTTTTCATTCTGTCGCTCTTTCATCTTTACACAAACCTGTCTTTATTTCATGTTATTGATCCCTGGGCTTGTTTTTCTTCTCTACAGAGCATCAATGTCCACATTGATGAAAATGCTCTCCATGAAATCCTAAATGAGGTGGACCTCAACAAGAACGGACAAGTTGAAATTGATGAATTTCTGCAGGTACGTAACAAGCAGCTAGTGAGGAGAGAGACGTGCAACATTAAGACTAATAAGAAAATGGATACAGTAGTTTGCTGCATAGAAAAATGCAGCTGATTATAGAAGATGCATTAAAATGTGTCGATTGGCATTGACACAGTGAGATATTCACTTTTTACTGAGACTCAGTGACAAACAAAAACAGCTTGTGTGAAGGAGATTTTTGTAGTGGAAGAGAAACACAACAAAATCTGAATCCAAAACTGAATGACAAGAAAGGTGACATTTCTCTGCATTGTAACCCCCCTGCCCCAAAGGTGTTCAAAGGTGAACTGGCCAAGTCATTCCCCTGCCTGCTATGCAACACGTTCTTCCTCTACATGCCCTAATGTTGTACTTGGTCACTAAACCTGTAATAAAGGTGAGCCTTTTGTTAAAATAGATGTGAGGGGTGAATATCCATCCCTGCAAACAGAGGGTGTGAAGTCTTAACTCTGATGTTCCAATAGCTAATTACAGGAGAGTATCTGAGACCTGAAGGGTGTCTGAGGCTCCTGCGTCCGTCCGCCGCTAATTTACTTTCTCACTTGACAACGAGTCCAGAAAAGAGTCATTATAGGAGAACCCGATGACACTTGATGATTTTTAGTCTTCATTAGTGGCTCCTGTGCTGTGCTGTGCTGTGCTGTGCTGTGCTGTGCTGTGCTGTGCTGTGCTGTGCTGTGCTGCGAGGCTCCCAGGGCTTGAGGAAACGAGCTCAGAGCTCCATGACAAACCAGCTGAGAGAAGCCCTGTTGTTCTCCACCGAATCTCTTTTACCAAAACCTGATGGAGTTCATAATTTTTCACTCATGCATGTTGTGTTACATTATGATGCTGAATGTTAGTGCCTGCTTGTGTGTGCACGTGGATAACAGCAAACAGGTGTGTGCCACTGATGGGAAGCCAGTGTTGTGACCTATGAAGGGCTTTCTCTCTCATTAGCAAAACAGTTTTCCTTCACTGTTGCCTTTAAAAGTGAGCTGATAACGCTTCACATGAACTAGTTTGTTTCAGGCTTACTGACACTTGAGCAATGGACTCATCTGTCTTAGAATTTACAAGAGATGCCCTTAAATCCAGTTTCTGTGGGGCAGCAACAACATGTAGGTTTTCTTATATCTTCAATTAGAGTAAACAAGCTCTGAAAGTACTGACAGATGCTGCTGGCTTTGTTCTTTTCATGGGAGTTGTGAACAGTAAAGAACACTAACCTTTAGAAAACCTGCAGAATCTGAAGGGCTGCATCTGATTTTGGAGAGCCGCTGGCTGATAAAGCAAACAAACAAAAACATCCCACCCAGTTCAGCTTTAAACACATGAAGACTGGTGTGTTTTTTCTACCTCTTTACCTTCCGAATGTGAGTGCGGTCACACAGCTCTAATGCCTTTCATTTTGTGGCAGTAGAGTATTATCGCAGTCCCACAGATAATTATTTCTCCCCGAGGAAAGTGGCTGGTTTGACAAGTTAACCTTTCCTGCTGTTATCGTACACTCTGTACGTCACAGTCTCTGCCGTTTCCTCTGCAGCTTATGAGCGCCGTGAAGAAGGGACAAGTGTCGAGCAGCCGCCTGGCCATCCTGATGCAAGCGGCGGAGGAAACTCTGGATAAGAGAGGGCCGGTGACGGTGGACCGGAGCGGGGGTGGAGTCTGAGCTGGAGAAAACCTTGAGCTGCTGCTCCTTTTTAATGGTGGTAATGACAAAAACAACTCAGAATGAAAGGGTCTCATGCAAATGGCGCTATTTGAATGATAATATTGCAATCAAGCACACGGCAGGGTGAATTTGGTCAAATCAGGTGTCGACAAGCAACACTCCTGAGTGTGTTTTGGGTGAAACCGTATCTAATGATTGAGGCTGAGATTGTTTTTCATGAAGTCAGAGAGTCTGTCTGTGCTGACTGATTGTGTCCTCGACTGACTGTTCCTCTATAGCCAGCACCTCTGACATTACACAGTACACAGTGTATCTGTTTTATACTGTCTTTGAAACAAGCTCCTCTACAGTGCTGCTTTTTAAAATGTCTTTATCCTCCCAGAAGTAGTCTGACACTCGGGAGAATACTGAATACACTTCAAAGTAACGTGGTATGTGAACTTGTATATTAAAAATGCATTAATCACAAATTGCAAATGTTGTACAACACGCTACAGAAGTGTTATGGGAGATGGACCCGACAGCAGATCAGCTCAACGTGAAAGAATGTGAGCTAGACGAAACTTACAATTAAGAAATAATGTACCCCTTTAAATCCTCTCCTCATTTCATTGTGTTTATGATCTTAGCGTGTTACAAGCACTGGTCACATACTGAACGGCTCTTACACTGAAGCACTTGTACGCCTGCTGCCTAGAGGAGTATTTTAGTGTGGGAGGAATCCCATGTCTTTCTGTCTACAAACTGCTGTGACTGATACCGAGGTGTATGTGAGATGGTTTCCAGCTTTAGTGTTAATTAGATTTTATTCCTTTTTCTTCATGTCATTGCATCCATTTGTAACCATAAACACAGATGTTACTGTGATTATAAATTCACTGCAATTCACTACAGGAATTGAACGGTAGTTATTTTTCTATTAGTGGAATCACACACTGCATCTTAACTCAGTTCTCTAAATCATGTAAAGCAAAATCTTTATTTTTACAGTGTGTGGAGTGAAGTTTATTCTTTAATTTCATTACCTGTTGTATTAACACACGGCCAGTCTGTCTGTGCAGCATAAATCATGCTGCATGCTGTTAGCAGATGCTTTTATTTTTTATATGGCAAAAATAAGACTTTTGTAATCCAACATGGACATTTCATCATGTGGATGGAAAGGCAGTGCACTGTAGGAATGTATGATATTATATGTGCCTTGATATGACACTGCCCCATTTACGCTCTTTTTCACAATGCTATACTATATTGTCCTTCCTCCACCATGGCACCACCTCATCCCATCTCAGACTGTGTGCAGACTGTGCCCTCATTGCCTCTACATGCACATTATGATTTACAATCATTACTCGTTGTTGGGCTTTGTTTATTCTTTATTATTATTTGTCATCACTGTAATCATTAAATGTGTGTATCAGTTTGAGGTCACACGGGGTCTCAACGACAATTGCTCCAAACTGCTCACATCAAAAACAGCTCATCATGTTTAAACGTTGTCTTTGGATGAAATTAAAACTTCATCCAGGCTCAAAGAGAATCAGGTTCCTCCTCATTTTTCCCTTCCACCAAAACTGTACAAATACTGTGTGTCAGTCTTCAGGTAAAGAGAAAACACAAAGCAGTTATCTATTTAAATGTATCTGGTTGCTTGCAATGCTTTTTGGCATTTTTGTTTCTGGTGAACATCATTCATAAGTGGCGTCGCTACAGCAGAGACACGTGACAGCCTGTGAACATGGGCATGTTTAACAAAGCAACAGTTCCTTCTTTATTTTTCACCACCATGTACATTTAGTAGCTGTTCTTGTGCTTTCAGTCGTCAGCAGATTGAATTCGTTTCCCTTTTTTCTGAGCAATTTAAGGACTTTGCATCCATGTTGACTTATGAAGTCCTTGAACATCTGCAATGGACCTTTTGTTAAGACAGTTTTCTTACATAAACCTGACTTTTACCTCTATTCCAGCCTAATCTGAATCTAATGTACACCTCACTATTGACCTCTATTGATGTTAAAAAGCAACAACAGCTGCTGCCATATCCAGGTAGCCTGTGGATATTTTTAACTAAGCCTGTTCAAATGACATCTTACCTTTCTGTCTGTAATTGTAAATCATGGGGTTAGATTACATTTGGTCAGAATATCCTCATCGGTTCTCACAAGGATAGGAGTACATGACCACACACACTAAACTTCACCCAGTGGGCTCCCTGCAAACTGCCTGAACGACAGCCTTTTCTCCCAAAAGGTCACAGTGAGATTTGAATGACAGCTTTATGTCCTGCGCTCATATCTGCAGTAGCTGCCTTCCTGGGAAAGGCTGGGAGTGCAGGGAAGCAATTAATTGTAATGAATAATGGGACAAATCTGGGTGGCACATGACCGTTAATGCTCCCCCCCTCCCCGGAGGATTAGGACAGCGATACTCCCCACACCGAGGTGTCAGCCTGCACACTAATTGAAAATTGTGAGGATAATGGTAGGTGGTGTCAGCGACCGCCCTCTTCCATTTCTTCTTGGTTGAAAGGTGTTTTCTGATCTAAATGCTTTAAATTTGTCCACTTTGTTTTTCAGTACTTGTTAGGCTCCTAATGACCTGTATTATGCTTTAAACAGCAGCATAGGCAGGGTTTTAGAAAAGGTCTTGCCTTATATTGGTGTATTTTCTATGATAATAGTACCACAGGATGGAAATATGTTAGCCTTCGTAAAATCAATGTACAAGCTAATAAATGGACCTTGTGCTAGGACTGATTCCTTGACTGCTGTTCTCACAAATAGACGTTTGAACCTCAACATAAAAAACACTTTTAGATTCTTTATTAAAGACCTCATGCTGTGTTTGTGTCTTTTAACAAAGAGGACTGTTCTTTACCACTTATATTTGGTTTTAGCACGTATGTTTCACCTTCACCAGTCTGACTTCTTCCTACTCCATTCAAGCATGTACTAGGTATAAGCAAATTGATATTGGATTGTGTGTAAAAATGTGTGTTGTTATATCAACTGTTGTATATGCTTGAAAGAATAAATCAAATCAAAACCTTAAAAATATGCAAACAAGGTGGAAGTACTAGATAAAACTGTGCAGTCTTAGGGCAACCTGTGTTGTCTGTTTTGGTGTTTGAACATAGGAATTCAGATTAATGGCAGACGTCTCCTTTAAATACATGAATATATAATATATACATTTCATGGCTACATGCAAATTCCACCACAACTGTGCTTAAATAATGTGTTTTATGTAGATCTTTTCTACATTTGTATTGTGTAATGTATTATCTGATGTGCGGGGGGGCAGAATGACTTTTTTAGCTCCATGAGCCCCTCCCTGACTAATCCAGCCTTGCCTTTCATGTGTTAGCACCTTCCCAACTCATGAGTTTAAGTGCCAGTGTTACTAATTAGAAAATTTTAAGTGCAAATTATCAGCCATTCTCCTGGTTTCCATAAACAAGATGCTGCAAAATAATGATGTTTTGATTAGTTTTAATTGGAACTCTGACTAAGAGCACTGGGACTAGACAGCCCCACAACAACTCGGAAAGCTCTCACTTTGTTCAGCTCATAATTATGGTAAATAAGATGATAATTAACTGATGGCTCAAAAAAATAATCACATGAACCTCTTGCAATGAAGGAAAAATTCAAATATTGACAGGAGAGGGCAGGAAGTGGGACAAATATATCATTGGTGTTATTAGTGCCTGGGAGTGAAAATTTGGCTGATTTTGAAAAATGAAGTGAAAAGTTTCCTTCTAAATTTACACATTTAATCTCCAGTCTTTTGTCTGAGATTGTGAGGCCTGAAGAGAACAGTGTTAAAAATCCCTGGTGAACTCTGAAAAATCGCCACTTTATGGGGTGGAATAATGGCTCAGACCTTTCTGGGCCACTCTTGAGCCACATCTGGTCAAACAAAAACACTATTCTGCAAGGTGTCCTGACATTTACCTGGGTCATTTACAGGTTTTGTGCCTGTTAGTGTGTAGACAGGAAGCTCTTTCAGCTGCGCTTGAATAGACACCTGCCAATCAACCCAAACAAGGAGGAGATCAGAAGTCATTCTTCCTCCAACCCTGACAAAATAGCTCAAATAGGATGAAGTGGAATATTAACGTATATATTGTAAAACAATGCCAGTTTGCTTCAAAGTGTCTCCAGTTGTCACCGCCCAAGACCAAACATCTCCATGAGAGGACTATAAACATGCTTGGTGATGGTAGTGAATTGCAACTCATTCTCTTCCTCCTCCACAGACTCTTCATCTCTGTCTTCCTCAGATTCTGTGCCATGTGATGGTTCTGCCCAGCAACAATGTCTCCTTTCACACTAGAATCTAGACAGTGAGTGCCTCCACTAAATGTGTGAGTGATTTTGAAGTAGCTAAGTACATTTACTCAAGTACTGTACTTAAGCACAATTTTGAGGTATCTATACTTGAGTATTTTCATTTACTGTTACTTCATACTTTGACTTCACTACATTTTAGAGGTAAATACTGTTTTTTACTTCACTACATTTGTTTTAGAATTTCAGTTACTACTTACTATACAAAAAAAATTATAATGCAGTATAATTATAAAACCTTATTGATCTGTGCTGGAACTCTAAATTAGACTTCATCTGGAAGCGCATCCGGCATAAAACATGCCATGCGCATCGTCAGTTGGGTTGCACCAATGATTTGCTGTGGCGACCCCTAATGGGAGCAGCCGAAAGTGAAAGAAGAAGATTGATTTGTGCTGGAAAACTCACAAGCTATGCAGCAGTAATTCAAATTAAATACATAAAAGCAGGTAAAAACTAGCTCCCCTTTACCTACTGTATCAATAAATGTGGTGTACACAATAATACATCAGTAATCATAATACAATAATATGATATACAGGAACATGAAATGTACCATTCTGCATAATGAGTACTTTTTCTTTTAGTACTTTAGAATGCTTTGATGCCAATATTTTGTGGTTTTACATAAGTAACATTCTGAAATTTGGAGTCTAACACCCTGAGCTTTAAAAATTAAGTAGCTAGCCTATTTACTCTCTCTGATCTGATAGCTCATGGTGTTAGATAGATAGATAGCTTTACTGTCGTAGCATAGTACTTCATACACTGAAACTGTTGCTGCCATTCCTATCTGTGCAGCATCTATATGAAAAACACTAAGATAAAAAAACACAATGTCTAGTGTACAGAGGTCATGGGTTCATCCCTTGGTAACTTAAATAATTTGGTGTTTTATACACTTGGCAATTTAGGGTATTTATTCCACTACAACCCTAGGCATCATGCTCATTCATCGTGATTGGATGGCTACTCACAGAGTACTGCTCTGTATTCATTTTCACACTGTTAATTTAGCCACAGGGGCTGCAAGCCAGTGACTTCTGTGCCAGTCCCAAGCCCAGATAAATAGAGAGGGTTGCGTCAGGAAGGGCATCCGGCGTAAAAGCCAAATGCCAAATTTAAACATGCGAATCATCAGTGTGAACTCCATATCGGATCGGTCGAGGCCCAGGTTAACAATGACCGCCACCAGTGCTGTTGACCTACAGGGTGCTGGCGGAAATTGGACTACTGTTGGTCGAAGAAGGAGAGGAGGTAGAAGGATTCGTAGACAGAGAGAGAAGAGGAAAGGCAGGAGTATAGGTCTGAGAATAGGGACTCTTAACGTTGGCACAATGACAGGGAAAGGTAGAGAGCTGGCGGACATGATGGAGAGAAGGAAGGTAGATATACTGTGTGTGCAGGAGACCAGGTGGAAGGGTAGCAAAGCGTGTAGCATTGGAGGGGGATACAAACTGTTTTATTATGGTGTGGATAGGAAGAGAAATGGGGTAGGAGTGATCCTGAAGGAGGAGCTTGTGAGGAATGTTTTAAAGGTGAAAAGAGTGTCAGACAGGGTGATCAGTTTGAAGTTGAAATTTGAAGGGGTAATGTTGAATGTAGTCAGTGGTTATGCTCCACAAGTAGGGTGTGAGTTAGAAGAGAAGATGGAGAGTATTCCCAGAGGGGAGAGAGTGGTGATTGGGG